AATCTTCCTGTACAGTGTTCATTGAGTAAGAGCTAAAGAACACATACTTCTGTTACAGACACAAGATCCCTTCCCCCAATAGTGTGATACCAAAACCAAGGTGAAGAAATTAAGGTAGACTCCTGTATGTGTATTTAAAATAAATCCTATTTAATTGGATGTCAATTTCATGTGAATAAGAATTTAATTCAGTGTGGGGAATGTGTGGGACTCTAGATGTTACTGGAGAGCAACTCCTATGTACCCCAACAAGCACAGCCAGTGGTGAGAGATGATGGGAGCTGCAGTCCAGCTATATCTGGAAGGCCATACACCCCCCCCCCCATCCCTGAAGTATAGGATCAGGTTACCCAAACAGACTTCCCATTGACAAGTTCCACCTTGGCTTAGAGGGCAGCCTGCCCCATAAAACCTTTGATGTCAAGTATCTGTGAGCCACCTTAGGTCTCTTTCTGGGAGAAAGCCAGCAAAGAAATAAAATGGAATAAATAGTAAGTAGGGATAATTTTGTTTTGCAGGGTAACAACTTGTAGAAGAGGTTCTGTCTGCCACTGTCACAGTATTGCATAAAATGAAAGTGAGAGACAAGCAACTTCTTTCTTATGTGTCTCAACCTGCTGAGTGGTGAGGTCCCACTGGGAATTGAAGAAGTCATCCTTGTCTTGGGTGAAGACAGGAACATCATACTCCTGCACAATGGGGGGATCAGGGCGCTGCTCAATCACTTTCAGGTGAATGGTGTTGGATTCGTCTGTAAGAAAGAGCCAAGTAGGAGGGAGAGGCTTTGCTAGGATTGGGACTGTCAGGCCACTGCCCTGCTCTGTTGACAGAAGGCCCTTCTTTACATGACACAACCAGGTTCACTTACCCATGGGAGCATGCACATTAAAACAATAAAATAACCTTAACTGTCCTCCTTTCCTTGTCCACTTGAAATTTCAGTGCATCAAACTGCAGCAGAGAGCTGCATGGCCAATGGCAAGTAATGGGAGAAAGAAAGTCCAGAGAATCACTGTTTATCAATCATTTTGCCATAAATCTACTGCAATTAGCACTACGAAATCTAAAATTTAAATTCTAAACTCAGATTATTTAAATAATGATAACTAGCAACTCCCCCCCCCCACATGTAACAAGAACAAGAGTACAGGAAAATAAAGGTGTCTGCAAAAACTTGATTAAAAGGATCAAACTCCAGCTTTCTGGATCTTTGTGTTGTTCTTCTGAAGTTAAGAGAAATGGTAAATTCAATGGGCATCAAGGCAAGATCTAACAGTCATTTACCATTTATTCCTATTCTTAAGTAGCATCACTTGCTATAGTACACATATTACTTTTATATTGTAATATATCTTGGGTACAGAAGAAGAGGCAACACAAGATCAAACAAAATCAGACGTCACAATAAAGGCAGAATTATACATGGCTCACTGTGATGTGTGAACCAGAAATTCTATCTTATCTCTCCTCTAAAAAATCAGTAACAAACTGTCTAACTCTAGATTCTTGGGGAAGAGATAAAACAGAATTCCTGATCTGCATGATACAATGAACCAAGAGAAGCAAGGCCTATGAGCCAAATGCAACCCATTTTAATAGTCTGTGCACCTCTAACTTAATGGGGTAGGGGTGGGGGATGAAAAACTAGTCAATTGCAAGCGGGGAAAAAGGAGCGATTGACCAATTCAGTCTGCTTTCACCTCTGGTCCTAAAATGGTTTTGAAATGCAACCTCGTTTTGAAGAAACAAACAAAAACACTTCCAATTTTGAAAGAAAAGGCTAAGCCCCTTCTTCCAAATGGCCTGTGTTGACCAAATGAACTCCCCAAAGTCTTTTGGGGATGTGATTGGCCAAACTATTTCTTTGGGGTTGGCCACGGAAGCAGTCCTCCACATTTCTGGGACATGGATTGCACCCTCCTCAACCGTGGAAGGTGCTCACCTCCAACTAAACAAAAGACAGATGGGGAGTGTATTTTATTAAGCTGCTCATGCTTGCAGCAGGAGCAATAGGGCAGCTTTTACAAGGGTGCTATTCATAAACAGCACTTAGGGTTTTGAAATAGTGGAAAACTGGGTCAATAAATGCTCTCCTACTGTGAATGTGCCATCTTCCCCTGCACATCTCCCAAGAAATCACAGGTTTACATTTTAACATGGCCCTTTTCAATCTGCATTCTTCAACAATGTGTTTGTTGACATTACCTATAGGCAGAGTGCATTTGCCAGTGGCATTCAGTTCCTCGAGTAAGATGGTCATGATAGGTATCAACTTTTGCTTGCTCTCCTCATTGGAAATGAAGCCACTCTCAAGCTAGGAAAGGACAAAAATCTATCATTAGCTTGAATCAAAATGTAATGCTAAAAATACTAGCAATGCTAAAAATAATAGCAATAAAATGGACAGAGCATATTGCACACTTTAAAAAAGGAAAGGTTTCTCATGCAGAATGTTTGTAAATATTTTTACAGCAATGACAAACATTCTTACACAGTAATAGGAACACTCTAAGTTAGCAATACTATGAAATCTGTATGAATTCTGCAGTCGTTGTCCAATACTGATGTACTCTCATATCCATGGATTCTTTATCCATGGATTCAACCAATCCCGACTTGAAAATATTTTTAAAATATATACATTCCAAAAAGCAAACCTTGATTTTGCCATTTTATACAAGGAATACCATTTTACTATGTCACTGAATATAATGGGACTTCAGCATCCACATATTCTGGTATCCATAGGGAGTCCTGGAACCAAACCCCAGCGGATACCAAGGGCCCACGGTAACTGGAATGGATACAAAGAGATCTTATTTCTCTAAAAGCAAGGTACCATATATACTCGTGTATAGGTCGCCCTTGTGTACAAGTCGTGGGTAGGTTTTGGGGCCAAAAATCTGGATTTTAATATGCTCCGTGGATAAGTCGAGGGTAAAACCGAAGGGCTGTTAATGGGGCAGGGAAAAGGCTTGGAGAACGCTCACTCTCCTTGTGTCCTTCCAACCTGGCTGTCCCCTCCAGAGGCAACCAGGCTGGGAAGAGGCTTGGAGAACGCTTGCTCTCCTTGTGTCCTCCCTGCCTGGCTGTCCCCTCCAGAGGCAACTAGTCTGGGAAGAGGCTTGGAGAACGTACGCTCGCTCTCCTTGCATCTTCCCAGCCTGGCTGTCCCCTCCGGAGGCAACTGGGCTGGGAAGAGGCTTGGGAAGCAAAAGCTCCCTTGTTGCTACCATATTGACTCGTCTATAAGTCAACCCTGGGTTTTTGGGTCACATTTGTAGCATAAATTTTTTGGCTTATAGATGAGTATATACTGTCTTCTTAAGTAGAGACATGGGTGCTGGGAAACACATAACATTTAGCACAGCAGCTCTGGCTTAAATTTGTTATAGTGGTATTGTCTTGATTGTTCTGTTCCAAAGTTTGTCAAGTACCATTCAAGGCCTTACAAAAATCATGAAAAATCCAACTTGCCATCAACAAAAAACCAAGAGAAGGTAAAATGAGGGAGGGCAAACATGTTTACACACTGCTAAAGTATGTAATTTGTATACACTCTTACAGAGAGAAATGTGACTCAGAATATCATGCTATGTCTGACCTCTAGAGTGGTAAGATAACCTGCCAGTTTTTTCACAATAGGCTCCAACGCACAGGTCTTAGCTCTGGCATCACAAACAAAGCCAAGATTGAACAGCAAGGCATTCCGGCTGTATTTCTTATGCTCAATACATACTGGACAACCAATTAGCTTTTTTTCCATGGCTGTACTGTTAAAGAGAAACAGTTGAAGGTTATTAAATGTACTGTAAATGGTACATGTTACAGCATAGCATACAATGTATTGTTTAACTGTATTTAATTTATGAAGCAGTAAATTAGAATGAACAAAATCAGCTTGTGCTTTATAGATGATAAAAAACCTATGGCGTGCTCTTAAAAAAAATGGGATTGACATTACATTTGACAGTCCTGATGAGAAATCTGTATTTAGGACAAGAGGCTACTGTTAGAACATAATATGGAGAAATAGAATGGTTCCCTATTGGCAAAAGGATCAGACACGGCTGGATTTTATCACCCTGTATCAGTGATAGCGAACCTTTTAGAGACCGAGTGCCCAAACTCATTGGCGGCCCTGGCACCAGGCATCACCGGGTGCGGGACTTCTGGGGGACAGGGCTTCCAGAGGTGGGACTTCCAGGGGGTGAGACTTCTGGGGGGAAACACACAAGGAAAAAATGGAGGACCTGACTAAACAAAAGCTCAAAACAAAAACAAAACAAAAAAGCCACTCATATAAATATTACGGTAAATCCATCCTTCTCAGACCTGTTCTCAAAATGGAGGACCTTTTGGAATTCCTCCTGAACAGGAGGTTGAAATACAGGACATGTCCTGAAAAAAGGAGGATGATGCCTGGTCACCCTGTGCTATAACACCCATATAGATATAAATCCATGCTTCTCCGCCCCGCTCTCAAAATGGGGGACCTTTTGGAACCCCTCCTGGACAGGAGGCTGAAAGGGAAGACAAGTCCTGAAAAGGAGGGCAACCATATCTGGTCACCCTGAGCTAAAAACACCCATATAGATAGAAATCCATGCTTTTCCGCCATGCTTAAAATGAGGGACCTTTTGGAATCCCTCCTGGACAGTTCCTGTTTTCCTTGCAGCAGCAACAGCAGATAAGCCTTGCACCCAGAGCTCAGGGCATGTTTGTGTGTTTGTTTCTGAGAGGGGAGAAGGACAGCAACCATGTTAGGCAGTGGGCTGCTTGAGGACACAATGCAAATATTGAATGGGGTTTTCTGCCTTACTTTCAGCACAATGGACAAATGAACAGAATAATTTAAATGTAGATTCAGTCAAGGATTTGTGGCTAGTAAAGTACAATTTTAAGTCTATGTCTTGCTCAGTTTTATAAGTATATTGCAAGCCAACAAGCCATTTTAACATTCATCAGAAAAATACAGCTGAGTACATAATAAAGTGAGTATCAGCATGGTTTAATGGTTTGAGCATTGGACTATGACTCTGGAGGCCTGGGTTCGATTCCCAGCTTGGCCATGAAACCCAATGGGTGACCTTGGGCAAGTCACACAGTCTCAGCCTCAAATGATGGCAATGGCAAAAATCCCCTCAGAACAAATCTTGAAAACCTGAAGGCACTAAAACAATATTTAACATAGATGTAAATAAACCTGATGAACCGAATTTATATTTCTGATTGTTTTTAGCTTTTATGTTATAATGTCTTCCATTTTTCTTGACTGTTCCCCATTTTGAGCATGGCCAGGAAGCATGAATTTACATTTATAAATGGATATTTTTAGCTTTCATTTTGTCATGTCCTGAGCTTTTTTTGAATTTTGAGCATGGCTAAGAAGCATAGACTTTTATTTATAGAAGTGTTTTTCAGCATTTATTTTGTAATGTCCTCCATTTTTAGCATGACTAAGAAGCATAGATTTATAGGAGTAGGTTTTTTAGTGTTTATTTGATCATGCCCTACATTTTCCTTGAATGTCTTCCATAGAACACCCTGTGTATACTGATATTCCAGACTAACAGGACTTGTTCTCTGAATTCATACCCAAGCTGCAAGCCCCCCTTCTGGCATTGGTGTCTACAGCCTTCCCACCCACCAGGTTTTAAAAACTCACCTCCGTGCCCCTTTCCCAATACTAAATCTTGAGAAGAAAACCCCATGAAGTTTCTCCTTAGGGTCGCCAGAACAACTTGAAGGCACCCCCCAGCACTCTCTCAGCCTTAGAAGGTAATAGGAAACCAAGGCACACTCTCAGTTCAGCCATGAAACCCACATGGGCAAGTCACACTCTCTCAGCCTCAGAAGGCAATGGCAAACTCCTTTGAACAAATCTTGGCCAAAAAAAAAAACCCATAATAGGGTCTCCATAAGTCCAAAATGACTTGAAGGCACACAATAACAATAAAAAAATGACATAAGTATATCTGCTAGTTATACCGCCCCTCACCTGCTGCCAATTTCCTTCTAAAAAAGTATCACACAACGAGCAGGCTTAAACATGGAAGAAGGATGGGGAGGGGAAGGAACATCAACAGTCTAAGATATGCAGATAGAATCATAGAATCATAGAGTTGGAAGAGACCACAAGGGCCATCCAGTCCAACCCCCTGCTATGCAGGAACTCGGAACTCCCAATCAAAGATGACACCATACTACTAGTAGAAAACAGCATAGACTTGGAACAATTATGAAGGAAAGTTAAAGAAAAAAGTGCAAAGGCAGACTTACTGCTGAATATAAAGAAAACAAAACTCATGACCATAATAAATTAAATCTAGATAACGAGAGAATCAAAGCAATCAAAGATTTCCCATCCCTTGGATCAAACATTGATCAGAATGGAGGCTACAGTCAAGAAATCAGAAGACTAAGAATGGGAATGGCAGTGATGAAAGAACTAGACAAGATCCTAAAGTGTAAAGATATACAACTGAGCACTAAAGTTAAAGTTACCATGTATGAATGTGACAGCTGGACAGTGAAGAAAGCAGACAAAAAGAAAAACAATTCATTTGAGATGTGGTGCTGGAGAAAAGTGCTGAGGATAATGCAGATGGCTAAAAAGACAAACAAATGGGTCCTTGAACAGATGAAGCCTGAACAAGATGATCAAATTGAGATTGTAGATTATAAGAAGGCAAGACTCATTAGAAAAGACAATAATACTAGGAAAGCTAGAAGGTAGATGAAAGAGAGGAAGACTGCAAGCCAGATGGTTAGAGTCGATTGGGGAGGTCATGGGCTTGAACATGCAAAACCTGAGCAGAGAGGATGAGAATAGGGGGACTTGGAAATGTCTCATTCATGAGGGTCGTCATGAGTCAGTTGACTTGCGGGCAGTTAACTACAGCGACAACAACCGTTTCGGACCCTGCCCCCCACAGATGAAAAAAACCCCATGGGGCTTGATGTCCCACAGTCTTCCGTGGCAGTGCGTGCATGCCCAATAGTTCTGTTGCAAACACATGCATGCGCGGCTATTGGGGCAATGGGGCTTGCCAGCTGTGCCCTTTTCTGGAAGTTAGGGACCTTGAAACAGTGGTACATGCGCTGGTAACCTCTCGCCTTGATTTCTATAATGCACTCTACATGGGGCTACCCCTGTGCCTAGTTCGGAAACTTCAATTGGTACAGAACATGGCTTAGGCCAGCCAAATTCCATAAGCACTGTTTTCACTTTTTCTCAGTAAAAAAGAAGAGAAATAAAATCCCAATGATTTGCTCTTCTTTCAGGACACCCAAAATCAATTGCCTGAGGCAGCTACCTCACTCTACCTATTAGTAGGACTAGCCCTAATTGAGGACAGGACTAATTGAGGACAGAAATGGTGCTAAGTCTGATTAAAGGACAAGGGGTAACCTGTATGACTCACATTGTAACAACTGAAAACAACTATTTCCTATTAATAATCCTGGGTAGTACTTACACTGTGATAAGCTTGTTTTGCAGTTCAGGTTTAGTGATTATATATACCTGAACTGTGTCAAAGAGCTCTCGGGAGATGAAATCCTCTGGTACCTGCAGGGTCAAGAAATACCAGCACATCAATAAAAAAGATAATTTGAAAAAAGGAATGCAGATTTACAGAAAAACTAGTTTCTAAAATATGACAAAATCTCTAAATATGATTTTTTAGAAGCCTTTCTCCCTGCCCCCTGTTATCTTAAAATAAAAACTAAGTGTATTTGTGCTATAATAGCAAAGTCTCTTTCAATTCCATATCCATTACAGGCCATGCTACCCTCGACAAAGCCTTCCCCTTTAAGGCACCCTGGTTATGGAATGCCATCTCCTCAGAGGCCCAGTTGATCCCTACATTGCCTTCATTTCATGTGCATCTTTCAGGAGTGCTTTAGTTGCATATTCCTGTATGACAGGAAGCTGGACTGGATGATCCTTGTGGTCCCTTCCAACTAAGATTCTATGATTCTGTGATTTCAGTGTTACACTATAACATTTTTTTAATTAAAACCTTTGGAGTTTCAGTTTTATCCAGTTTGTAACTGTTCCTGTATTTAACTTAGCTTAACCAGTTAGACATTTTCATATATTCTTACAATGTACATTATGTTTATTGCTTAAGGTTTTAATTTGTTTCAAATTGCTGATTGATTTTATTTACACTGCCCTAAGATCTTGGGACATAGGGCAGGATATAAATCTAAACCAACCAACAAAAAGCCATTCTATTGGTAAAGAAGCAGCAGCCTTCGTCTGTAAACAAAGGAGATGCATTCACCAGCACTACTGAAGTTGCACAGCTAGAAATCAGGGAGATGAAAAAGATTCTTAAAACAGTTGAGTACAGTTGTAGGAAAGGGTAGAGTTTTATGCAGCTTGTGAAGGACAAAGACCTCAGCTCAGCTGAAGAGCCCATTATTTTTCAGAAGTCCCAGCTTCAAACCTTGCCATTTCTACTCTAATGGATCTTGTCTGAGATCCTTGACTGCCACTGCCAGTCATAATAGAAAACTTGAGCAAAAAGAACAAATTGTCTGATGTGATATAAGACAGTCCCATGTATTCAGCAATTATATCATTCATGCTCCAAACTTCTGGTATTACCAACCTGGTACGTTATTTTAGGTCCAAGCGTTGGGTGGAATTCACTGAAAAAGATACACTCAATTCTACTCCTTATTTCCATAGTGATAACTACAAAAAATAAAAAAGAACTGATGAGAAATGCCCCCCTCAGTATATTTTTTTCTACATTTAGAATTATAACTTTAATAGCTCATGAACCCTTCTCCGCTGACTAAAAGTATTCCTTATGTAGACAGATCTTGTAGCACCACTGAGACTAAAGGCCTAAGCAGACTGCCAGAAATAGTGCACATTAAATTGAGGCACTACCCTGGCTCAGTGCTAGGGAATCATGGGAACTGTAATTTATTGTGGCACCAGAGCTCTCTCACAGAGAAGGTTCAATGTCCCAGAAAAACAGTTCCCATGATTCCCTAGCACTGAGCCAGGGCAGTGCCTCAATTTAATGTGCACTCCATAGGCCCATACTGAAAGGAAGAAGTTGGCAGCAGGAGCTTTTGTAAATTTACATCTATTTGAGAAAGCTTGTGTTGCCAACTTCTTTCTTTCAGTTAGTCTCAAAGGGGTTACATACAAGATCTCTCTACATACTGATTCTACAGACTGTGGGCCCTTGCAGACTGCCAGAAATAGTACAAATTGAGTCCACTTTAAGGGTTAGGAAATCACGGGAACTGTATATTATTGTGGCACCAGAGCTCTCTGACAGAGAAGGTTCAATGTCTCAGAAAAAAAACAAAAACAATTCCCATGACTCCCTAGCACTAACCGTAACCTCAATTTGCACTATTTCTGGCAGTCTGCAAAGGTCCTAACACAGCTATATTTTTGAATTCTAAAAGTATTCCTGTTCAGGCTTCCAGACTGTTCTAGCCAGCCAGCCACGTCCGCCTCAAGAATACCATATAACCCCACATAGGCTCCAAACTCTGTTACAGGGTGTTATCAGATTATGTACCAACCATATCCAACACAGCTCAATTGTGAAGGATGATGAGAGTTGTAGATCAACAACACTTCTATAAACAATGGAATCTTTTGTGGTCTAAACATTTCTCTAGTCAGCATGGTCACTGGTGATTTTGACAACTGGAGCTGCCAAAAGTAATTTTTCCAAGCAGCAATAAATAACCATTCCCTTAACTGTTTATTGTTTTCTAACTGATACAACATCCTATGACTCTAGGAAGCCACTGTGCATGCTTAGTTTTTTGGTATCCCTGTTTGAGTCTTTCTTCAAGATACTCAGGCCATTTCCCCATGGTAGTAAGCATACCCCAGGCTTTGGTGTTGGGTTAGAATTTTTTGTTATTGTTGCTCCTCTTAGATTTGGGTTTTTTTTTAAAAAAAATATTGTTTTATTTATATTGTAAATAAAATATTTACAATATAGATTAATAAATATTTAAATTTATAAATAAATATTTATAAATAAATAAAATGTAAATAAAATATTGATGCAGTGGCTTA